TACTTTTCATTATTATTTTTTTCTTCTCTCCATATTTCAGTTTTCCTATTCAAAGGCAAATAATTTTAGGCTTTCTTTGGCAAAACCAGGCAGAAAAAGGGGTACTTCAAATCCAGAACGGTAAACCCCACCTGCTTATTCCTTGGCTTGGTTAATAAAGATATACGCCATGGGTTGTATATATCCAACATTTCTATTAACTGCCCTCAAACCTTGTACCAAACTATAGCTCTTGCCATCCAATTTTTCATTTGCAAGATTGGGGTGTTGTATTTGGATTTCTATCCAATTAATTACCCCAAATCCAAAAAGTTATTAATTACTTCTTTTGTCCTCCTACAATCTCGTATCCTCACAGGGCATTGCTTTACCCTGGCTGGGCTGGCTCCCATTTAACTTAACTTTCATTGGGCTGCATTTTTGGCTCTGCCAGGCATCCCTGATGCCTGCAATCCTGTGTATACCCAATGTAGGATTTACGTAACTTCTAGGAGTACAGCATTGCTTTCCCCAGTTTGTATTAAAGCCAGACTTAACTTTTCAGTCCATTGGTGTTGCTTAACAAGTAGCTCCAATTTTCTCAACTTAATTTAATCTCTACATTCAACTACTCAAACATTTCATGCCCAAACAATGGTTTTGGAGAACCTGGCACGTACAAGAATTTATATATTCCTACTTGTTCTCCTAGCCTGTATTTAATTGGTCCAAAAAAAAAGTAAACTTCTCTTGCCAGTGGCTCCTACAACTATTACAAAAATCATCTCTGCTCTGCAGATGCCGGCTATTCTCACTTCCAATGTCCCCTGTCCCATTCCCATTCACAAGCACTGCACTCTTCACATTACAGCGGAGGCTCCGGCCCCCACTTCTTTCTCCCACTCCAAGCTGTTCTTACAAGCCGCAGTGGGGGTGTGTGTGGGGATGTGTTCTCATGCCGGCCCAACTCTAATATCCCAAACTCACTGCTTTCCTTCACCTTTTTGCCTTTTCTTTTTGTTTGTTTGTTTGTTTGTTTGTTTGTTTGTTTTTCCACAATTCCACTATTCGTAACCTCAACTGCATTTCCATGTTGCATTAACAATTGCATTTCCACATACCATTAACAATTGCATTTCCACATACCATTAACAGTTGCATTTCCACATGCCATTAACAGTTGCATTTCCACATAATTTCCACATGCCATTAATAGTTGCATTTCCACATGCCATTAACAATTGCATTTCCACATAATTTCCACATGCCATTAACAATTGCATTTCCGGTGAATGGCTGGGTTGGAAGGGACCTTAGGAATCATCCAGTCCCCACGATCCATTTGGAATCTGCCCCGTGTGCTCCACGGATCTGGTGGGGATCTGTCCCACACAAGCCCAGTATCCCCAGGTGCACAGTGCCTGGCTCCCACCCCCAGCACTCACTCAGCACTGCTCCCCCCAGCAGACTCCTTCCTGGGCAGCTTGGGGGTCGGACTCCCCAGGAGCAGAGCGCCCACGGCCCACGGGAAAGCCATTCCCTTGTGTCAGTGCCCATCCTCGCCTTGGTGACGGTGGTCTCCATCTCCGCAGCCAGCAGCGAGTGGTCCCCCCCGGAGCCCGTGTTCCTGCCTGTGGAGATGGAGCTGCAGGCAGTGCCCGAGCACTACCGCCTGCAGCGTGCGGATGGAGCCCTGCCTGCCAACACCTCTCTGCACACCCGTTCCGACACCTTCCTGCTGCTGCCCCGCCACCCCACCGCTGGCCCCCCGCCTCTTCTGCGAGCCTCCTACGCGCCCTTCAGCACCCACCAGGTAATGCCAACCGCCGCAAAGCCGTGCTGACCCCCAGGGGCCACCACTCCGCCATCCCCGTCTCTTCCAGGAGGTGCCCACCAAGAGTCACACCTGGGCCATCCGTGCCGCAGCTTCACGCTGCGCCAGCTGCAGACCACGCGCCAGGAGCTGTCCCACGCGCTGTACCAGCATGATGCTGCCTGCCGTGTCATCGCACGGCTTACCAAGGAGGTCACTGCTGCCAGAGAAGGTGAGCTTGGATGAAGGGGGCTGCAAAACTCCAGGGAAAGAGAACCATAGAGCCACAAAATGGCCTGGGTTGAAAAGGTCCACAATGGCCATCTAGTTCCAACCCCCTGCTATGCGCAGGGTCGCCAGCCACTAGACTAGGCTGCCCGGAGCCACATGCAGCCTGGCCTTGAGTGCCTCCAGGGTGGAAAGTAGAACTCATAATGTTTCTCTGCTTCTGCAGCTCTGGCCACGCTGAAACCGCAGGCCGGCCTTATCGTGCCACAGGCAGTGCCGTCCTCACAGCCTAATGTGTCGGTGAGTTCCTTCTACCTCACTGTGTGTCTCTCTCCTATTTCCTACCTGCATATAACTGAGCCCTTCTCTGTTCCACGCAGGGAGCTGGAGAGTCCATGGAGCTGGGTGAGCTTGCAGGCATGACCCCTGAGATTATCCAGAAGGTAAGGACTTGTGCTACCTGTGCTGTTCCCACCTGCACCTTCCACACCAGCTTGTCCTTCTGCGCCTCAGGGTCCTGGCCTGGGTATTCCACCTGCCAGGTGAGGGGTCGTGCCAGTGCCTGAGCCCCTGTGCCATTCTCCACCACCAGCTCCAGATGGAGGAGCTCAGCCGCCTCCAGTGCCCTGTGGGAACAGAGCTCCGGATGGCACCCACTGGGACGGGGACCCAACAGAATGGGGATGTCCACCAACAGAGACCCACTGCTTCAGGGCCACGTGCTCTCACCGCAGGGTCAGCAACATGGCGGTGAAGTTGTGCCGCAGCGCCAGGCTGGCGGTGAAGCGCTGCCCAGGCCGCAAGGCTCTGTCGGGGACGCGCAGCAGCACCCTCTCATCCAACGGCACCTCTTGCCGCCGTGCCACTGCCGGCACTGTCTGCAGCTCCAGCATCCCCACGTACCGCAGGGGCTCCACTGTGGCAGAAATCCCCCCCCTGCTGTGAGGACAGAGCAGGTCTGAGACTGCCTCATGAGACTGAATGTGTCTAAGTCTATGTGGCCGGATGGCTGCATCGCAGGGCTCTGAAGGAGCTGGCTGAGGTGGTTGCTGAGCTGCTCTCCATCGTATTTGAAAAGTCGTGGCTGTCAGGTGAGGTCCCAGATGACTGGAGGAAGGGTCACATCACTGCCATTGACAAGAAAGGGAGCGAGGAGGACCCAGGGAACAACAGGCCGGTGAGTCTCACCTCTGTGCCTGGGAAGATCATGGAACAGATCCTCCTGGATGAGGGATGGGCGTGTGATCCGTGACAGTCAGCACGGCTTCACCAGGGGAAGGTCATGCTTGGCAAATCTGGTGGCCTTCTGTGATGGAGTGATGGCACTGGTGGATGAGGGAAAGGTGACCGATGTCATGTACCTGGACTTGAGCAAGGCCTGTGACATGGTTCCCACCACATCTCTGAATTGGAGGGATGTGGATTTGAAGGGTGGACCACTCCATGGATAAGAAATTGGTTGAAAGGCTGCTGACGGAGGGTGGTCATCAATGGCTCTGTGTCCAGGTGGAGGCCGGTAACGAGTGGCGTCCCCAGGGGTCTGTCTTGGGACCGGTGCTCTTAACAACTTCATCAGTGGCATCGATGGAATCGAGTGCACCCTCAGCAATTTGCTGACGACACCAAGCTGAGTGGTGCGGTTGGCACGGTGGAAGCAAGGGATGCCATTCAGAGGGACCTCGAGAGGCTGGAAAGGTGGGCCTGGGGGAACCTGATGAGGTTCAACACGGCAAAGTGCAGAGTTTTGCACTTGGACCGGAGGAATCCCAGGCATCCACGCAGACTGGAAGGAGCGGTGCTTGAGAGCAGCCCTGCAGAGAAGGACCTGGGGGTCCTGATGGATGAAAAGCTTAACATGAGCCAGCAGTGTGCTCTTGGGGCTTGGAAGGCAAATGGTATCCTGGGCTCCATCAGAAGGGGGGTGGCCAGCAGGGACAGGGAGGTGATTGTCCCCCTCTACTCTGCTCTTGTGAGGCCCCATCTGCAGTACTGCGTCCAGGTCTGGAGCCCCCAGTGCAGGAAAGACTGGGAGCTGTTGGAGAGGGTCCAGAGGAGAGCCACAAAGATGATGAGGGGACTGGAGCACCTCCCCTATGAGGACAGGCTGAGGAAGCTGGGCTTGTTCAGCCTGGAGAAAAGAAGGCTGTAGGGTGACCTCATTGCAGCCTTTCAGTACCTAAAAGGGCGCACACAAACAGGAGGGGAATCAACTCTTTCAAAGGGTTGATAAGGGCAGACAAGGGGAAATGGTTTTAAGTTGAGGGAGGGGAGATTTAGGTTGGACATCAGGGGGAAATTCTTTACCCAGAGAGTGGTGAGGTGATGGAACAGCTGCCCAGAGAGGCTGTGGATGCCCCATCCTTGGAGGTGTTCAAGGCCAGACTGGATGGGACCCTGGGCAGCCTGGTTTAGCATTAAACGTGGAGGTTGGTGGCCCTGCATGTGGCAGGGGGTTGGAGATTCGAGATCCTTGAGGTCCCTTCCAACCCAGGCCATTCTGTGATTCTGTGGCACTGGGATGGCTGCAGGTTCCCGGCCCAGCCACGCCATACCACAGTTCGACTGACTCCGGGGACGTCACCGGGGAGAACCAGCGTGCTGGGATCTCCAGTTCCACCAAGCAGATGCCCAGTGGGGCCTGGGGGGGGGACAGCAGCCTTAGGGCTGGGGGCAGAGCGGGGCCAGCAGCGCTACGGCGACAGCACCTTGGGGCTGCGGGTTGCGACCCACCTGCACACGGCAGGAGCCTTGCAGCGTCCGGCTGCGCTGCTGGGCCTGCAGGACAATGCAGGGCAGCGAGTGCTCCCCAGGGGGGTCCCGCCGTCCACGCCAGTCAGGGCCGTGCAGGTGGAAGAGGACGCGGGCGGTGGGTTCATCTGGACTCACAGTGCTGTGCAGGGGCACTCACAGGGACAGCATGTCCTGCCCCCACCCCGAGTGTCCTCTGTGCCCCCCCAGAACTGAGCGCCATCTCTGCAGGCACAGTGTGGACAGCAAACTTTATTTGGTGGCCAAATAAACACAGCAGCAAACCAATGTGGCCAATTCCACAACAGCAATCCAAGCACGTAGCCCTCATCCTATGGCTGGGGGGGTTACCCGGTGTGGGACCCCCCAGGCACTTTGGTGTGAGCGGGTTCAGGGCTTGGGCATGGTGTTAGTGAAGGCACTGATGCGGGGCACTGGGGGGGCCCATACACACACAAACACACACACACACACACACACACACACAGGGCCCCCCCACACCCCTCACTCCTCCGCACGGCCCCGTGCTGCCCCATAGCGCTGCTGCCTCCTCCGCAGCTCCTCCACCTTCCACTCCAGGCTGCGCACAGCAGCCTCCAGGTGTGCAGCAGGGCTGGGCGGGGGGGCCCTGCCACCTCCCAGCAGCACGTAGAGCCCCCAGAGCCCCAGCAGCATGGCTGCCCGAACCACGAGGCCGCTGTCCTCTGCCGCCGCCACGTGCAGGAAGGCTCCCAGGAAGACACAGAGCCGCAGCCAGCGCAGCACGGGCCGCAGCAGTGCCACGACCCGGCCCAGCAGCCACGGCAGGAGGTGGACCCACATCACAGCTAACAGCCCCCACAGCAAGACCCGCTGCACCGCGCCGGGGCTCAGCGCCACGCTGCCCGCCAGCCAGGCCCCTGTGCTTCAAAATACGGGAGAATATTTGAGACCAAGCAGCTGCGGCTGCACCCGGGCGAGCTCACATTGCACCGTGCTCACCGTGCAAGCCGCAGGCATCCAGCAGATCCCCCAGTGCTCTGCTCAGCACGGCCAGGCCCGATGAGATGGCCGAGGCGGTGAGCCAGAGTGCAGCCAGCAGGCTCTGCAAAGAGAAAGTGCTATATATTATGCCAAACAGATTTGAACAACCCAATTATATATTCTGGAAATGGTCTTCTATTAAAGAAAGGAAGGAAGCAAAGCAGCTCTGGGCGGCCGGGGAGTCTGTGCTCCACCAACAGCGCGCGCTTTCCCTCTCCAGCTGAGTCTTTCTGCAGGTCACTATCCGGTGTTGGTGGCTTCACAATATCTCTTGCGCAGGCATGGTCCTGTTGTTGGGCAGCCGTCCTTTGTCTTGTCAGATGGGGAGGCCTGGGATCTTTGCAATACATCCATTCGTAATCCTTACGCAGCATCTTTAAAGCTGTGTAAGTCCTGGGGTCCATACCTTGAAGGGCTGTTTGTTGGTTTCCTGGATGTCTGTAGTAGGAAACTGGCCCCTGCTGTTGCAGTTTTCTAGTGATAAGCTTACCAATGATCTGATTGACAAACAACAGATTGCTCCTATTACAAAAGGGCCTCGTGGGGCCATGCCATGCTCACCACCACACCTCCCCCCCACCTCCGACTCCCTCTGCTCACCTCGGCCAGCAGGCGCAGCGGCTCGGCTTCCAGGCAGCCCTCCAGGCTGGCCCAGGCGGTGTGGCCCAGCTGCCACAGGGTCTCATTCAAGGCAGCCATGGCACCGCCGAAAGCCCCCATCCTCGGCACTGGCAATGGGGTCTGTGGGCAACGGGAGGGTGTGAGTTGCCCCCCCAGTCAGCCCCCCACAACCTAGTGCCCTCTCCAAGCCCCCCAGCTGCATCCCCAGGGTGCCCTCTCAATGTGCTCACCCAGCATGCCACCCCATACTCCTCCATGACCCTCCTACGTCTCCCCCTATATCCCCCAATACAGACTCCGCAAATATGAACTCCCTGTATCCTCCCACGTGCCCCCCATACCACCCCATCTATCTGCCTGCCCATTCACCTCCACAACGCAGTACTCCCTGCAGTATACCCCAATATCCCATAACCCCATCTGCCTCCCTCATAGGGCTCACCCATATAACACCCCTGAATAGCCCCCCCCAACACCCCAGCGTGCCCCCATTCCCCCACTCCCCTCTACACGGCTCCCTCTCAACCTCCCTCAATGTGTTCCCCACCGATACACACAAACGTACCCCCATTACTCCCCAGTGTGCCCATCCATGCCGCCTCCCAATATAACCCCCATCTCCCTACATGCCCTCCCATGCTCATGCCCCCCATACGCCCCCTATGTAACCCATAGCACAGCCCCCCAATATTCCCCCATATGACCTTCCCCTCTGTACTCTTCAGTATCCCCCATATAGCCCCCCAACCCCCAATGTCCCCCCCACTGCCCCCCATTACAGCCCTCCCTCTAGTCCCTCAATATAGCCCCCCTCCCGTATGCCCTCCATATGTTTCCTCAAAGCATTCCCCCCCAACCTGCCCCTCAATATTACCCTAGGTGCCCCAGTCTGTGCACTCAATGCGCCCCCATTTACCCTCCCAGCACCCCCTGCCCACTCCAGGCCCTCTGCTCTCCTCCACCCCCCCACACCCTCCCAATCCCCCCTCCCACATTCCCCCCCCCAGCCCCCCCTTTTCCCCCTGCGCAGCGCTGTCCCCCTCCCCCTCCATCCCCCGTGTCCCCCCTCATCCTCTCCCCGTTCCCCCCGGGGTTCTCCCGCACCCTCGCACAGGGCAGCGCCGCCCACTGCCGCACGGGGGCGCTGCGGGGCAGGTCGGCCGCAACGCACGAACGGTCCTGCCGCGAGCCCGCCGCCGCGGGGCGCCATGGGAGCTGCAGTCCTGCGCGGGGTGCGCCGGGAGGCGGAGGTTGGGGGGGGGGGGGGGGGGGGAGGTGAGGGGGTGTGCACTGGCGCGGGGCACGCCGGGAGCACTTCCGTTTCCGGCGGCCGCCTGAGCGGAGCCCGCGTAAGCGCTCCGAGCGTCGGTGAGGACGCGCGGAGCCGGAAGTGGAACCAGGAGCAGCCGGAAGCGGAGCGCGCAGGGCCCGCCATGGCTCTCATCTGCTCCAGTGAGAGGGGGGCCGCCCGGGGGGGGTGGAGGCGGTGGGGGGACAGGGGGATGTCGGGACCACGCCGTGACCTGCGCCTCCCCCTGCGCTGTCCCCACAGTCTCCAACGAGGTCCCCGAGCACCCGTGCGTGTCGCCGGTGTCCAACCACGTGTACGAGCGGCGGCTGATCGAGAAATACATTGCGGAGAACGGCACCGACCCCGTCAACAACCAGCCCTTGTCCGAAGAGCAGCTCATAGACATCAAAGGTGGGAGGGCACGGGGGGACACCGGGAGCCCGGTCCTGAGCTGCCGGTGGGGGCACGAGGGGCTGTGGCAAAGGGCAAGGAGCTGAGGGTGCATCTGTGTTGGCAGTTGCCCATCCCATCCGGCCCAAGCCACCATCGGCCACCAGCATCCCGGCCATCCTGAAGGCGCTGCAGGATGAGTGGGTAAGTTGCAGGGAGCTGAGGTGTGGGGCTGAGTGCCGCCCCCTGACTCCCTTTCTGGTGCCCTTGTAGGATGCTGTCATGCTGCACAGCTTCACGCTGCGCCAGCAGCTGCAGACCACGCGCCAGGAGCTGTCCCACGCGCTGTACCAGCATGATGCTGCCTGCCGTGTCATCGCACGGCTTACCAAGGAGGTCACTGCTGCCAGAGAAGGTGAGCTTGGATGAAGGGGGCTGCAAAACTCCAGGGAAAGAGAACCACAGAGCCACAGAATGGCCTGGGTTGAAAAGGTCCACAATGGCCATCTAGTTCCAACCCCCTGCTATGCGCAGGGTCGCCAGCCACTAGACTAGGCTGCCCGGAGCCACATGCAGCCTGGCCTTGAGTGCCTCCAGGGTGGAGAGTAGAACTCATAATGTTTCTCTGCTTCTGCAGCTCTGGCCACACTGAAACCGCAGGCTGGCCTTATCGTGCCACAGGCAGTGCCGTCCTCACAGCCTAATGTGTCGGTGAGTTCCTTCTACCTCACTGTGTGTCTTTCTCCTATTTCCTACCTGCATATAACTGAGCCCTTCTCTGTTCCACGCAGGGAGCTGGGGAGTCCATGGAGCTGGGTGAGCTTGCAGGCATGACCCCTGAGATTATCCAGAAGGTAAGGACTTGTGCTACCTGTGCTGTTCCAGCTCTCAGCTCCTCCCTGTCCTCCTGCTGGGAGAGCCCAGGTTGGCTTTAACCACTGTTGTGCTGTTTCGTAGCTTCAAGACAAGGCCACTGTGCTGACCACAGAGCGCAAGAAGGTGAGCGGCCACGTTTCATGCTTACATTTCACATTCAGGATACCACAGTGATCACAGGATATGCATGGTGTGTTCCTAGAGGGACAAATGTTCATCCCCATGCCATTTTCTGTTTGCAGAGGGGCAAAACAGTGCCAGAGGAGCTGGTGAAGCCAGAGGAGCTCAGCAAGTACCGGCAGGTTGCCTCGCACGTGGTGAGTTCTACAGTGCTTTCAAAAACTCACCCTCTGCTTGGCAGTGTCCAAACCCACAGTTCTGTTGCTGGTCAGTGCCAGGACGGTCATGGCTCTCTCCATGGAGACCAGTGCTGCAGTGGAGGTGGCTTCCAGCAAAGCCCCTTGCAAGACCTTTTGGGTTCACTTTGGGGTATTTTCCTGCTTGTGGCACCAACCTGGCCTCTTTCTGCCTCGCACAGGGGCTGCACAGTGCCAGCATTCCAGGAATCCTGGCCTTGGACCTCTGTCCTTCCGACACCAACAAGATCCTCACTGGTAAGGGAGCCACCTCCCTCTTTGTTGTCAGCACAGACCCTTCAGCTTCCTGGGAATGGGGCCCTCTGACCTTTTGTGAGGTTGGAGTGAGAAAAGGGGCATGAGGAATTCTCTTGGCTCACATCCTGAGAGCTTCTCAGGACAGAGATCTCAAAGAGCAGCAGGTGGATGTTGAAGTTGGCCAGCCACAAGTCCCATCTCTGATAGTTCCCTGCTTCATTTGCTAGGTGGGGCTGATAAAAATGTCATCGTCTTTGATAAGAGCTCGGAGCAGATCCTGGCGACACTCAAGGGCCACTCTAAGAAGGTCACCAGTGTTGTGTTCCACCCCTCACAGGTGTGCTGCTGCCCTCTTCAAGCTTTCCCTTCCTGCCTGTAAAGGAGCTCGCGAACAGAGTCACGGCACTGTTCTGATGTTAAAGTTCCTGCTTTATCCCTTTGTCTCTAGGATTTGGTGTTCTCAGCTTCTCCTGATGCCACCATCCGGATCTGGTCTGTGCCCAATGCTTCCTGTGTGCAGGTTGTCCGTGCCCATGAGGGCTCCGTGACAGGGCTCAGCCTGCATGCCACGGGTGATTACCTTCTGAGCTCTTCTGATGACCAGGTGAGAGGCAGCCTGGGCTCAGGGCGCATGGACACCCTGCTTGGTGGCTGCGTGCTCAATGCCACGCGTGTCTCTTCCAGTACTGGGCCTTCTCAGACATCCAGACGGGCCGTGTTCTCACCAAGGTGACAGATGAGAGCTCTGGCTGCGGTAAGAGAAAGAGTACCCGTGTTGTGGGGCTCCTGTGGCTGTGTGGAGGGGGGATTTTCTTCCCTGGGAGCTCCTGGTAGCAGGGTTCTCACAGGACAGGGCCTCCCCAACCCTCGTATGTCTCTCTGTCTCTGCAGCCCTCACCTGTGCCCAATTCCACCCAGATGGGCTCATCTTTGGAACGGGAACGATGGATTCTCAGATCAAGATCTGGGATCTGAAGGTAGGACTGGCCCTAGGCAGGCAGGGGTTGGGCAGCAGGTGCTGTTTTGCACAGAGCTTTGTGTGCTCCCTGGAGTGACAGCCCTGTGGCTTTCCTCATCCTTGCTTCTCTGCGCACGTGCGAATTCTGTCGTCTTTGTGCGCTGTTGTCTCTCTACTCGCCAAGCTGCTGCCCTGGGGAGGCAGAGGATGCTTGAGGCCCATGTTTGATCCTCCTGTCCCCAGGAACGCACCAACGTGGCCAACTTCCCAGGGCACTCGGGCCCCATCACCAGCATTGCCTTCTCTGAGAACGGCTACTACCTGGCCACGGCTGCAGACGACTCCTCTGTCAAGCTCTGGGACTTGCGTAAACTGAAGAACTTCAAGACGTTGCAGCTGGACAATAACTTCGAGGTGCGGTGGCTCCCTTGTCCCAGCGTTGGCCACCCGAGCCCTGCTGTTTTGCTCTGCTTGGGGTGCCGGAGGACAGAGAGGGCACTGCACCTCTGGCACGGTGTCTGGAGGGAACTTCCTGGGCCTGGCTGAAGCTTTGTTTCCTCTGCTCCTCCCCAGGTGAAGTCTCTCATCTTTGACCAGAGTGGCACCTACCTGGCGCTGGGCGGCACAGACGTCCAGATCTACATCTGCAAGCAGTGGACAGAAATCCTCCACTTCACTGGTATGGGGCTGTGGGGCTGAGAGTGGCAGGGAAGCCTCTCCCCCCTCTTCGTGACATAACCATATGCTGTCTTCCCTCTGCAGAGCACAGCGGCCTCACCACAGGGGTGGCTTTTGGCCACCATGCCAAGTTCATCGCCTCGACGGGCATGGACCGCAGCCTGAAGTTCTACAGCCTGTAGCCTCGGGTGTGGGGCTGGCAGCGCTCACTGCAGTGCTGGGATTTGGGGTGGGGGGTTGGGTGGGAGGGCTTTCCTTTCTCCTTTAGATTTCCTTGCTGTAACTGTTGGCGGGGGGAGGGAGGGGTTAGTTGGATGTCACCATGCTTCATGGATTTGTTGTTTTAGTTTTCTAGTTTCGTGTTGGTCTTTCTGGCTTTAGACTCTTCTGTGGCTGTGGTACACTTGAAAGGCTCCAACCTGTACCCCGGTGGATAGTTGTGATGGAGGGATGGGGGACTGTGCAGTTTTGTAAGCAGTTACCTAGTTTCAGTACATAAATAAAGAACTATTCACCACAGCCCTGGTCAGCACGGTGGGGGCAAGGGGAGCCAGAACAGACCTGGTTCTGCTGGGGTTCCATCCCTCCCTCCCCACCTTAAGCCCACATCACTCCCATCCCACAGATGCCACCACTAGTCTTTGCCAGTTGCTGGTTTATTGTTCCCACTCGCCCCCACCGGGACCAGAGCATTGGGGCTCTGTCCTGATGGAGGAGGAGCAAGGAGGCAGCAGCACACGCTTAAGGTCTCCCCGCTGCAGGACCCTTCGGCAAGACAACGCATCCCCAGGAGGTGACTGTGCCCACGATGTTTGCTGTCTTCCTGGCCCCTGCAGCTCGTCGGGCCCCTGGGGACAGGAGCACAGCGGTTGGTTTGGGAAAGGCAAGGGCAGATAGGGACCCCCACCGCAGCCCCACTTACGGGAAGGCATGGCCTCTTGACAGGAGGGCCGGCAGGGCTCGGGCTGGGACAGGTGGCACACCGAGGCACTGCACAGGATGTACACCTGTGGGACACGGTGCCTTGTCACACCCGGTGTCATGGCGGGGGCCCACTGAGCGGGAGGACAGCCCTGCCTCACCTCTCCCTCCAGCACCACCATGGAAGGGCTGTCCACAAAGGCAAAGGTGGAGATAGCAAAGCGCTGGTAGTGGCTGGGGAAGGGCATCTGCAGCGTGGCAGGTCCCACCGGCACCAGCTGCGTCCTGTAGTTGTCCCCAGCAAAGGGGCACCTGAGGGAAGACCCTGTGTCAGCATAAGCGAGCCCTGCCAGCCCCTCTTTCCCCATTTGCTCACCCGTCCACCAGGATGGGCCACTGGGGCTCAGCTGCTGGGCTGGTGCTGGGGGCTGCCCAGCACTGGTGCAGGACCAGCACCAGATTGGGGTCGGTCTTCTGCAGCAGCCGCACCTCCACGTAGATGGGGTCCCGCAGCACCTTCACCAGCGGGTAGTCGGTGTCAGGGTGGTAGGAGCTGTAGCTCTCATCTACGGGAGGGTTTGAGGCTGAGCAGGGCACAGGGCTGTGGGAAGGCGCCGGGGTGGAAAGTATGGGGATGGGAAGCACAGGGATGGAGGACAGTGCGGTGAGGGTGTGAGAATAGGGATGGGGGACGGGGGATGTGAGGACGGAAGTAATCAGGAGTGGGGGGCACAGGGATGGGGGTGGAGAGCAGGGATGGAGAACCGGGACGGGCTCACCAGTGGCGATGCGCAGCTGCAGCTGGAGCGGCCCCGGCTGTGCCAGAGGAGCAGCGGTAGGGGGCACAGCCACCTCCAGGCTCAGCGGCAGCAGCTCACTGGCATTGTAAATGCAGCGGGCGTGGAGGCTGCGGGGGGACAATGGGGTGAGCAGCACTGTGAGCGTCCCCATGCCTCCCACCCATTGTCCCCTTACATGTAGACACTGTCACGGGTGACAGAGCCACGGGGCCCTGGCTGGACATCAATGGTGGAGATGAGCTGGTTCTCATAGACCAGCCGGTCCTCGATCACCTGTAGGGGGGGGGGGCACATGGTGGTCAGGCTCCCATTTGGCAGTCGGGTAGGGGAGAGGCCTCAGGGCTGTACCCCCACCTGCACAGTGGTGCCACACTGCGTGACAGGGAAGTGGAAGAGGACGAAGGTGTCAGAGGTCTGGGCAGGCTGGCAGCCGGGCTGGGTGCTGGCCAGGCGCACGCTGTCCAGGTTGTAGGGCTGCGCCGACAGCCCCCGTGGCACCACCAGCACGAAGTGGCCCTCGGGCAGGCACTGTACGGTGGCTGTGGCACACAGAGGTGCAGTCATGTGCTGCAGTTGGCCACGGCAAGCAATAGGTTGCCCGCTGCTGAGCCCTACCTGTGTTGCCGTAATAGCAGGGCGTCGCACGGTCTGTGTCATCAAAGCAGCAGCCTGCCTGCAGGCAGGCATCACGGCCCGGCGGGGACACGCAGGACAGCCTCCCCACTGCTACCTGGCACTGCTCCCGTGTCAGAGGCTCACCTGGAGCAGGGAGCACTCAGCAGCACACATGCCCACAGCGAGCGGCCCCCTGCTCGACCTCAGTAACCTCTTGCCCACCTCCAGCATCTCCCTGCCCACCCTTCTGCCCAAGTATCCCTGTCAACCCACAGCATCCTTTTCCCAGGCATCTTCCTTCCAGCCTTAAGCGTCCCTCTGCCCACACCAAGCACCCTCTGCTCACTTTCCTGTCCAAGCATCCCCACAGCATTCCCTGGGGAGGGGGATTTCCCTGCCAACCCAAACCATCCTGCCCGCTCCAAGAATCCCCCAGCCCAACATGACTGTCCACCTACCCAACCCAACCCAAACGTATCCCTGCCCACCCTTCTGCCCAAGCATTTTCCTGTCTGACCACAGCATTCTCCTGCTCAAGCATCTCTAGCTTACCCAAAGTATCCCTGTGCCTATCCTGAGCATCCCCCTGCCCAAATATCTGTAGCCCACCCCAAGCATCCTTGTGCCCACCTTCCTCAGATACCCTCCACCCACTCCCAGCACCCTCAAGTCTCTATGCACAGGTCTCTATGCCCCATCCCATGCTATCCACTTACCTGCCCCCGCCGAGGAGTAGAAGAGAGCTGTGGGATGCAGCAGCCCGGGCTGGGCTTGGGACTGCAGCCCTGGTCGTGGTGGCAGCCCTGGGCGCAGCAGCCCTGGTCGGGGCTGGCTGGGTTGCAGCAGCCCTGCTTGGCTCTGGAGGCTGGGGCGCAGGAGGCTGCCCTGGGCATGGGACTGGAGGCTGGGGAGAAGCAAGCCCAGCTGGCTTTGGGGCTGGAGGCCTGGGCGGACAAATCCTGCCTGTGCATGAGTGCTGCTGTGCATCAAGCCAGGCTGCAGCCCGGGTTGCACTAAGCTAGGCTGGTTTGGGGGCTGGAGACCAGAGTGAAAAAGACCTGCTTGGATTTGACTGCCAGCATGCACCAGCCCAGGCTGGTTCTGGAGCTGAGGACCTGGGCGGAGGACACCTGGCCGGGTTTGACCTCCTGGATGCAGTAATCCATGCTGGTTTGGGGATTGAAGACCTGGTTGAAGGATACCTGGTTGGGTTTCACTCCCTGGGCGCACTAATCCATGCTGGTTTGAGGATTGAAGACCCGGGCGAGGGATACCTGGTTGGGTTTGATACCCTGGGTGCACTAATCCATGCTGATTTGGGGACTGAAGACCCGGGCGAATGACTCCTGGTTGGGTTTGACCCCCTGGGTGTGCTAATCCATGCTGGTTTGAAGACTGAAGACCTGGGCGAAGGACACCTGGTTGGGTTTGACCCCCTGGGTGTGCTAATCCATGCTGGTTTGAAGATTGAAGACCTGGGCGAAGGACCCCTGGTTGCATTTGACTCCCTGGACGCACTAATCCTTGCTGGTTTTGGGACTGAAGACCTGGGCGGAGGACCCCTGGTTGGATCTGACTTCCAACATGCACAAATGCAGGCTGGTTTGGGGACTGAAGGCCTGGATGAAGGAGACCCATCTGGGTTTGACCACTAGCGTGGATCGTCCCAGGTTGGTTTTGGGGCTGGGGTCTCGGGTACTCCATGCCGGGCTGAGGCTGGTGCTGCAGCTCTGAGGGCTCCAGGATGGGCTGTGCGTGTGCCACAGGGGGACTCTGCTCCATGGGGGCTCTGGGGGGCAGCTGTGGGCGAGGGCCGGCCAGGGCAGAATGGGCTATGTGCTGCAGGAGGCCGGGCCGTGGCCGGGGGATGAGGACATCGACACCGTGACCTGTCAGGGCGCCATTGCCCCGCTCTGGCTGGTGGTGGCCATGCACGTTCTCATCTCTGAGGACCTCATAGCCAGCTGGCCGTGGGCACGTCATGTTCACCTCGTAGGACGCAGCCACCACCCCACTGAGCAGCATCTCCTCCAGCTGCACCCGCAGCACGTAGCGGCCGTCCTGTGGCAGGGAAAGCAGGAGGTGTAACCCCATCCCAGCTCACCGGGTGCCCCACAGGCAAGCACAGCCTCACCTTCAGCACCACGTGGCAGCCCTTGTAGCCGGCTGAGAAGACTAGCCCACCATCCTCCACAGCGCTGAGCCAATGCAGACAGATGGAGCAGTTGGCCACTTCAAAGCGGGTGCCAAACTCATCTGCGAGGACACGGGGGCGGTGAGGCTGACCCCTTCCCACCCCCCTCATGCTGCCATGGGATGCCCATCACTCACCCAGGACCTTGAAGCGCATGGTGCGGCCACGCGTGGGGAACGCCAGCAGCTGCATGCCAAAGTCCCCACAGTCGTAATGGTACCGCAGCAGTGCCGAGCCAGAGGGCAGCCATGTGGGCAGCAGCAGTAGCAACGGCAGCAGCAGGGAGCAGCTCCAGGCCATCTCAGCGCTGAGCACAACACAGAGCTTCCCGTGGGTCTCCTCCATTTATACCTGGGCAACAATCAGATGACCGAGGCGTCAGAGAAGTGATGGGGGGAAGCGAAAGCTGTTTGAAGGCCGGCATGCCCTGTGTCCTGCAAATGGGGAATTGAGATCTGGTGCTAGACCAAGAAATGGGGCTGAAGCAGCACTGTGCTGGCATAAGACCCCACAACTCCGTGGTGTATGCCATCCGGCTCCCTGCTGGCCATGGGAGCATGCCAAGGAGTCCATAGAGCAGTGCTACAGCAGGGACATCTTTTGCCAAGCTGGGCTGCCCCAGTCCCTGTCCAAGTGCTCTCACGGCCTGGGGTGCCCCCACGCACAGACCCAGGTCGTTCTGCCCCACTCATGGTGCCACAGGGGAACCGAAAGTCAGTTGGAGATCACGGTGCCCCACAGCTGTCATGGGCTCGGGGAAATGCTCCTGCAAATGGGGAATTGAGACTGCTGCTCCCAGCAGAGCACAGGAGTCCCCGGACACCCCTTGGCTCATTCGTCACCCCACACCGCACCGGTGCCGTTGCCAGCAGTGCTCCAAGGTGCTCAGTGTAACAGCTGTGGGGTGCCCACTGTCACCAAGTAGAGGGGGCACAAAGACCTGGAAGCGAGTTGTGCCCAGGCTGGAGGTGTGGGGAGTGCTCCATGGGGCTGGGAAGGACCTTGCTCCCCTCAGGTTGCTGCTGACAGCAGCATTTCATGTTTCTCCTGTGCGCTTCCCCTGCCCCCCATACCCCCTCCCCAGTTTCTCTTCTGGGTCCTGCTCTTAGTGAAGCTTAAATTCTCTCACCCTGACCCCAGTCCTGCTTTGGGGTCACAGCCAGCTCCAGACCTGCTCCAAGCCTACACAGACCCAAGGAACCCTGGAGCTCAGCCATCAAGCCCCAACCGTTGGAGCCAGGTACCCATGGGGCAACATTCCCCTTCCATGGGAGGATAAAGGATGATTTCTGAGCCAGGACTGCATGGAGACACTCAGCTCAGCAGGAAGAGAACATGGCTCAACAAGACTTGGGCTCAGTCTTCTCTTTTCTTGGAGAGCAACTCCAGATGTAAAATCCCACTTTGGGGCTGAGCACAGGAAACGTGACTGCTGCCGCTCCTTGCCCAGCACACTCACACCCCGAGTCAAAGGGCCTCATTAACCTCCACCAAGACTCATTAACTCCCAACGTGCCCCCCGGTGCAACCATTGCCTTTATTGAGCAGCTCACAACTTGATAGCAGGAGCAGGACTCAAGTGCAGCTCCAAGAACTGCACAATCTCCTGCCACGAGTGCTGCTGAGCCCTGGCATGGGGCTGGGGCTCTCCGCCCCACACCACAGGCAGAGGGTTGCCACGCAGGCTGGAGATGCTGCAGAGGGGTGAGCCGGGAGGCTCGATGAGGTGGCCAGCCCCAGGGTAGGACAGCAGGCGGTAGGCGTCCTGCGGCAGGCGTTCCGCAGCCAGCTGGGCGAAGAGTTTGCTGTTGAAGCTGCGATCGGCCTCACCCACCACAAAGAGGACCTTGCCTTGGATCTTCTCCACCGGGATGGCCGAGGAGCTGCAGGCTGGGCTGCGCGGGTCGGTGAAGATGGCCGAGTTGTCCATGGCACCCAGCTCGGTGAAGAGGATGCGCTCGGTCTGGTACGGGATGGAAGGGATGCGGAGGCCCTTGTAGTGCAGGGGGTTGCCATACAGAAAGGTCGTGCCGTTGATCCACACTGTGGCCACCACTTGCGGGAGGAAGGCGGCCATGGCCAGAGCCACCTCAGCCCCTTTGGACACACCAATGACACCCAGCCCTGGGCCTCGCACCTGCAGGGCAAGAGAAGACGGAGGGGGTGGTGGCACCGATGGGACGGCACCGGGACAGCCATGATCACTGGGGAAGCCCTGCTCACGAGGAGGCATCTCAGGACCTCCTTGTGCACTGTGGCATCATCTCTGGTCATCAAGACATCCCTGTCAGCAGGATGCCCGCAAATTCAGGATGGCCCCAGCCATGGGGACGTTGCTCTCAGACATACGGTATAGTTCTTGGATGGTCTGCATGAAGCCAGGAATGTGATTCAACAACCCTTGGTGGGTCACTTCCAACTTGGCATATTCTGTGGTTCTATGATCTGTGTGTGTTCCCAATCACTACAACACTCCCAAGTCACCAGGAGGATGCCCCTGGCCACCAGGACACCTCTCCTCACCACAACCTCCATGACACCATGATATACCCAGGATGATCCCAGCCCTTCATACAACCTCATTCATCAGCGCGTCCCTGTTTGCTGAGGCCGCCCACCACACCACAGCACTCACCTTCGGGTGCTGCAGGAGCAGCTCGGCAGCCTCCTCGAAATAGTCCAGGTCGAGCTGGGTTAGGCCTTTGGGGAGGTCCTCGTAGGCGAAGAAAGCCAAGGCCAGCACTGCAAAGCCCCGGCTGGCCAGCAGCCCAGCCCGGAACTCAATGAGACCACCCGCACCCCCAAACAAGTCGATCACTGCTGGAAAGGGCCCTGGGCCTGTAGGTAGCAAGGAACCCAACACCATGAAGGCTGCCACCAACCCTTGCCACCACACCGCAATCCGTCACCAGCGGGTGCCGCCAGCCCATTACCATCCCACACCAAGGGGATGCCACCAGCCCACAGCCCAAACCCAGCCTTGGGGTCTTCCCACCAAGGAACCCCCCAGTCCCACCTCTGGCTCCAAGCCACTAGGGCAGCGACCCAGAGACCCTTTGGGGCTGCTCCTGCCCCCCAACTCACCTGGTGGCAGCAGCAGGGCCCCCCGCACCCTCCCTTCGTGGATGGGCACCCGCTGCACACCAGGGCCCACGTACCACCGCTCGGCGGTGCAGGTGGCCAGAGGCTCATCCTGCTGCACCGACAGCAAGCGGAGGCCATCAAACACCTCCAGGTGGATGAGGAAGGGGCTGCCCATCACATCGCGCTTCACCAGGCGCTTGAAGAGGCTGTCAGGCTTCAGGAACCAGAAGAGTCCCATGGGCCAGATGCCGCTGTAGTTGCCCCCCAGGGCAGCGTGCCGCCCCACATCCACCACGCCCTCCTCATCGGAGCGGTAGAAGGCACGTGCTTGGAAGCGCTCGCCATGCTCATCCATCAGCCAGGAACGCAGAGTCACCAACTGCGAGGGAGCCAGTCCAGAAACCACCACCTGCACCATCTGGTCAGCCAGCGAGGAGCTCGGCGTCACCATCACCTCCACCATGGTGCACCTGGGGACAGCAGCACGGCACCAGCGCGTCGGTGTGCTGCTCCAGGATCCCCCAGGAACCCCTCCCCGTTCACCTCCACCTCCTCTCTTCAGCACTGGCTACAGAAAGCTCTGGACCCACTGCCCTGCGCTCACCCCCTTCCCAGAGAGCTAGGAGTCCTGTGTGGCCCCAGCCGGGGGGTGCACCCACACACCACACTGGAAAACCTTCCGCATGCCCCAAAGCCACGTAGAGAAGACCAAAGCCCCTCTTACCCCCGCAGAGCAGGCGAAGGTGAGGTCAATTACTGCGTGCTGGAGACTGGCAGCACCTCGCCACCCCAGCAATCATTAACCCAGGAAGCAACAAGAACGCAGCCGCGAGGCTGATGACCCACAGTTCTGCCCCGCCCCATGGCAGGCTCCTCAGCCTTTCCCCTACTAGGGGTGGGGATGCAGCAGCGGGGAGCTCCGCCTGCCCCAGTGGAGAACCCACAAATGTTGCATCCAGTTAACTGCCCATGCTTCCCTCTGCCCAGGGTGCGTGGGATGGCTCCCTCCAGCAACTGCTCGTTCCGTGCAGCACAGGGAAACACAACCAGCAGGAAAAACGCAGAAATAGGCGCTCGTAAGGCAAGAAATCTATCCACAACTGTGAAGAGGTGCACATGGGCTTTCAGCTCAACTCCATTCTTCCCACCTCCCTACTGTCTCCCAGCCTAAAAGAGCAGGCAGGAGGCTGCAGTGTGCTCACTTGCTCTGCAACACAGTGAAGGTGCTCCCACCCCAGCACTCATTCTCAGGAGCAAGGCTTCTCCTAGAGGAAATGAAGCCCCAGGGGCAGGGGCCACGGTGCCCTGTGACCCAGGAGGTACAGAAGCCTCCTTAAAGGCAAGGCTGGAGCAATTCCTCTTTGCTTTTAATGAAGAAAAGGTAGATTTGGGCAATTCTCAGTCCAGCCCCAGGCACTGACAACAACCTGCTTTCACAAGACAGGGCACGCAGCAGCTGGATTCTTTTCCATCCTGCTGTCCATTCAGAGCGCGGACCCCAGAGATCAGCAGGGCCTGCAGAACTCCAGCCTCACTCTGCAGCTGCTTTGCCCCTCACGGGTGCCTTCTGGAACATGCCCAGCGTGTCCCGCTTCTCCACCCTGCGCAGCTGCTTCTTCTTTGCCCGCTTGAGCTTCATTGGGTTGCGGATCTGGAGGGCAGAAGGAGACAGGTGGAAAGGCAGCATTTTATCCTAAAACTCCCAGGAAGTTTTAGGAAAAACTCCAGGCTCCCCCAGCTCTTGCACGGGAGGAAAGGAACAGGAGATAGTCATCCCCCTTTACCCCACCACCTCCAGGTCTCTCCAACACAGAGAAGCCCTACCAAAGCCTCAAGTGCTTGGAGCGCTGCTGTTGCCCCATATCCCATGTTCCGTTACCTCAAGGGTCACCCTGGAATGACCTCATGAGGAGCTGCAACTGTCTTCCCCCAGCCCCTCCAGAGCTGGGGTGGAGGTAGGGGGAGGAACTGGAGCAGAAGTCAAACTAGAGCCCAGCACTCAGTTCTGGACTCACCACTTGAACAATCTCTGCCTTCCGCTCATTTTCCAGCCGCCTTCTGAGGTTCTCCTCCCGCCGCCGCTTCTTCTCCTGTGGGAACAACACCAGAATGTCCCTGCAGCTCCCACCCTCCAGCCTTAAGCTTAGGCCACTGGGAGCAGAGGGGCCAGACAAGAAACTGCAGGGCTACAGCAATGCCCTTGCATGCAGAAACCTGCCACACAGAGTCAACACTTTCCTTCCCCATCCTCCATGAGGCTCAAGTTTGAAATTATCCAAAAAAACAGCAACTTGCAGCAAGTGACTATCACGGCACGGAGCTGGCAGGACAATAGGGGGTCCAATAGGAGAATCTCATCTGGCTGTGGGAAGCTTTGTGCTCAGTGCAGGGCAGCAGCCCGCAAGGCTGGGATGTAGGCAAAGATGTAGAACTGCGCCAAGGGGAAGGTGAGAGCTGCCCCAGAGCGCTGGGTGATGCAGAAGGAGCTGGCCCAGCTCCCAAACACAGCATCCTGTTACCTCTCTCTCCCTCTGCTTCGCCTCCTGAAGCTGCTGCACCAAGTCCCTCACAAGCTTCTTCTCTTGCCGCTCCTTCAGCTTTCGCTCCCACGAAGTGCGAAGAGGTTTGTCCTGCACCATGAGCGAGAACCTGGGTGGAAAGGTGGGGCTGTAACTGGGAGAGGCAATCCTCCCGGCCCTCCCAAGACTTCCTGGAGCTGGGACCCCTGCAAGTTCTGTCACAGCTCCCCTTCCTCTCACCTCCAGCTCAGGGCTCCTAATAGCACCTCGGCCACCCCCAAAGCCCCCACATCGCTCAGGAACCACAGCCTGAGCCCTCCGGGGGAGCTCCCCCACTGCAGCCTCTCTATAACCCCGTACCCCTCGGCCCTCACCGACACCGGACCACCGCACAGAATCCTCCCACGGCCTGGAAGCCCTCCTCCTCATTCCCACCTCTTCCTGCCCGGGTCCTTCCACACCCGCCCCGATTTGGGCCTGCCCCGGGGGATGGCCGGCACCGCCGCCTCTTTCCGCTTCTTGGCGGCCTTGCGGCGGGCTGGAACCTGGGAAACTTCATTGACCGGACCCACGGCTGAGGTCTGGGCGAGATCGGAGACGGACACAGATACCGAGACTGAGCCCTCCCTGCTGGGCCCCTCGGAGCCCGGAGCCGCTGCTGTACTGCACCCCTCCATCCTCCACGCGGCGCCTTTCTCCAGGCGCCGGGAGATGACATCACAACGCGCTGCGCGCATGCTCAGTTCCCACTTACATCCGCCTCCACAGCCGCCATGTTGGTGTCGGGCAGCGCCCCAGGCCCGGTGGGGGCCGCCATATTGCAGCCGACGTGCTGCCCGACCTGCAGAGAAACGCGAAGGCTTGGCTGGGGGAGAGGCAGTTTATTGGGATTTTTTGGTTCGTTTTTTAGGATTTTTTAGGAGTGCGTGGGGCTGCTGCTTAGGGCTGGGCGCGGTCCGGCTGTGGGGAGCAGCAGGGATGATGTGGGCTTCACTACAGCACCTGGAGAGGGAGAAGAAGGAACTGTAGGGCCTGCGTCAGGGCCCGCTGAGGAGGAAGGCAGTAGAGCAGAGCCCCGTACCATGCGTGTGTAACTGTACTGCTTGATGGCAGTGCAGCCAAAGGCCAGGGCCGCCACAGCTGTGCAGAACTCCAGCAGGCCGAAGAGGACGAGGATGGAGTCGAAGCCGTTACTCAGGGCCTGATGGCAGGAAGGTAGTTAGCATCCTGCTGCCCCACAGCGTCCGCTGCGCACGGCCACGGGCAGTACCTTGGTCTCGGCGCTGAAGCACCATTCCTGCCTCACCAGGAGCGGCATGCCGGCGCTGCTGCTGCAGCCGGGGATGCTGTGGGTGATGGCCACTGTGTGTATGAGCATGGCCACCAGCGTGCTGAGGATGACGGCGGCATTGGCCACGCAACACACTTTCACCTGCGTGGTTCACATCAGGAAGGGTCACCCTACAGGGACGTGTCTCCCATCCAACCCTCTTAGCGCCTCATGGAGGCTGTGTGCAGCAGCGACACAAAGCCCTTACCAGCAGGATGTTCTCTCTTTTCTCACTTTCCACCAGGAGAGAGCCTGAAACCAGGAGCTGCTTGGAAAACACAGGAGGAAGAGAGGCACCAGCTGGGCACAGCTTCCCATCACCCATCCCAGAACCCCTCCAGTGTTCAGGTCTGCCCTCACCGACTCTCCAGCCACAGAAAGAGTAGTGGATATGAGGTATACGAGGAGCCCCCCGTGACAAGGGGATCCAGCCCCATATCTCTGGACAGTAAGAGGTTGAAGCCCAAGCGTGCCCTTGCATACCAGAACCCCAAGCCAAAAGAAGACTCCGCTGGCCACAGGAAGGGAGAGGACACTGTTGTTCTCTGCACAAGTCAGGATGACACCAAAGCACAAGTGGATGATGCCAGTGACGATGTGAATGGTCTGGGAAAGGACAGAAGAGAGGGGGTCCCCCGTGTGCTGACAAGGATTAGCATTGCCATTACGTGCGTCCCACCCCGATCCCAGCATCAGCAGCACGATGCCAAGGAGATGTGCCCTACCACGCCGCAGACTCACCCCCAGCACTTTGGGCTGTGCTCTCCTGAAGCCGCTGACTTGGAAAGAAGACACGGTGGGCTGGATGGAGCCGGGGGCCAGCTGGGCTGCCCGTGGGTCTGTGGCCGGGATGACCTCTGTGATGATCCGCACGCCGCCAGATTCTGTCACCGTGGTTGCCATTACCTGCAGAGGCCCGGGGATGGGGGTGGGCCTGTGCTTAGTCCGTGTATGGAGTGCTGTCAGCCTGATGGGGACATCTCACACCCCATCCTGCGCCCCATGCGCCATCCTGCGCCCTGTACCTCACTTAGCCTGGCTTGTGCTGCTGCTCCTGGTCCCTTGGGAAATTTAGGTGGACTACAAGGGCTGCAGTGCTGCTGCCCTTTGATCCGCAGAGGAAGTTTGTTTGCAGAAGTCCTGTCAGGCCCCTCTTGCTCAATGAGGCAGCTTTGCCAACAGAAGGAAGAGAGGCTGCAAAAATAAGTGAATCTGCCTTGAGTGCCCGCAGTGAGCGTCAGTGATCAGAGGAAGAGACCGCTGGTCTGGCTGGTGCTGTTCTTACAGGACAAATGGGAGTGAAATGACACACAGCCTAAGCCCTGTCAGTCCTAGGGAACCTCATTTGCTACCTTTCTGTGTCTCTCTGCCTCCCAAACTCCCTATGCCTGTTCCCGCTGATGGCAGTCCACCCACAATCACGAGCTGGGAGGCTCTCTCCTCTGCTGAAAGGAAGGGGGGTGCAATCGTTTCCGATAGGAAATGAGAGCTCAGACTGGGAACGGAGCCACAGCACATGGTGAGAGCTCCCGAAGAGCACCCAAGGGGCCCCTTCCTCCCTCGTCAGGCCACCGTGCTCTGGCTTTGCCAGAAGAACAGCCGCTTCCTCCCCACGTAGAAGAACAGCCAGGACGGTGGGGATTCTGACCCAGGAAATCGGTGTCCCCTGCGACAGGGGCAGACACGGGGCTGCATCCCAAAAGTAGCTTTTGGAAGCACCTCTTGCTTTGCTTTGGCCCTAGAGCTGGGACACCTGCTCTGGCCCCACTGCGAGCCCATGGGGGCCACCTCTTGGCATCCCCACTTGCATGGGGGACCAGCAACTTCTCCGCTTTATTTCACAGAGAGCTTGGGACAAGGCTGCTTTGTCACACATCCCCGCAATGCATTGTTTTCTGCTAGGCGTGTTTCTGAAGGGGTGATGACCACAGATCAGTATGCAGGATGGAGGGTGGCTTCTGTGTGGAAATGAGCCTAGAAAGTGTCCCCATGGCAGTATCCTTCTGGGGAAGACACCTGGGGTCTGGAGAAGGGGCAGTTCCCCACAGCAGGCTGGGTTATGTCTCATCTAGGGAGGTAGCTTTCCAGGAAGAGCTGGGAGGTGGAAGAGTTCTGCCCATCAGCTACGCTCCTGGTGGCTATTGGTGCTTGGTTACCCAGGGATGCTTCAGCACCTGTGGAAATGCCCAGATCCCCTATTTATCCTTTGTACACATGTGGTGTCCCCTGTCAAGAGCAGCAGCAGCTTGCATTCCCAGCTGAAATCACTCACTGCGGTGGATTTCCTCCCAAATCCGTGCTTTCAGGCTCTGAAAGCATCCCTGGAGTTTCAGCCTTTCAGCTGGAAGCAACTGTGGCAGCTCTCATCCCAGCAGTGGGAGCTCACTGAAGTGCCTTAAAATCCATTTCTGAAAGGGGGGATTCGTGGAGAAAGCATTCTTCTCTTTCTAAATAAAGCCAGGCCCAGCTGGGGATGGCAGGAGCCCAAGGTAGGATGTTACAAGATATTTTAGAAGCAGATGCCAGAGGAGGTGAAGCTCACAGGCTGAGCAGATGCCGGGAAGCAGCAAACCCTGCATGCTGCAGGCTCTTTCCGATCCAAATCCCTGCTTTTTCCAAGGAAAACAAGTCATGATGGGTAAATGCTTCTCACAGCAAGTTTCTGCTTCCTGTGAAAAACTTTATATCCCCATAAAAATACCAAAAGACAGATTTCAGCTTTTTCTCCAGATCACTGATTACTTAAAGAGGAAGTCGTGTTTTCTGGGGCAGCCTTCAGCAAACGAAAAAAGGAAGAGCTGGCTTTCATCTCCGCACCCATTGCTCAGCAGAGTTGCTGCGCTGCTGCTCCTCAAGCCCATCCCAGCTGCTTCCTGGTCTACTTTGACCCAGGGATGCAGCCTGCCCAGGAGTGAAGGTTGGGTGCAGGTCCTCAGCTCTCTGTGGGGTGTGCGTGGACCCCACAAGAGCACTGGCCACAGGGTGGGCAAAACACCAGCACGGAGCTGGATGGGCACAGGGAGACCCTTGGGAGCTGGAACTGACTGTGCTGTGAGCACAACGCGAGCAGTATGATCCTTTCCCCCTGCACTCCCCCCACCTCTGGGGCTTCTCCTCCCAAACCTGCTCATTATTTTTTCAGCACCAGGCCCAGAAATAACAGAGCGAGTGAATAATCCATGAGGTTTTGGCTGAATGGTATAAGCACTGGGAGGGGGGTGGTGAAATGAGCAGGAAAACACGGAACTTGACCCAAAACTCCTCCTGGAGGAAGGTGCAAAATACTCTCCAATGAATCCTCCTGTGCTGGGGCTCATCCCCACAGCCCCTTCTAAGTGCAAGCCCCCACAGCAGGGGACAAAGTATTGAAATCCATACGGAGCTGTAACCTCCTCTGGCAACCCCCCCCCCAGCAAAGGAGCAGAGCCGGGTCTGGCCACAGCATTTTATTATTCTATTTTCAAGAGAAAGTGAAGCCAGCAGGGGCTGAGCTGACAATGGAACTGCTGTGTGGTGCCCAGCACCTGGCTGGGGTAATGGGGCAGGACCACCTCCATCCCTTCCCAGAGAGCCAGGAGGTGAGAGCTGGGCAGGGTATGGGGGTCAGGAGGAGCGAGCTGGGGGACGACGACAGGGGCTGAGTTCAGGGGCTACAAAGCATGGCCCAGCCTGCAGTGCAGCAGAAGGGGCCGATGCCCTGGAGCTGCAGGTGGCTTCTGTGACATCCTTGCTGCCCAGCTATACTTCAGGAGCTGCCAGCTGTGAAAGAGAAGCGCTCAGAGATGGCTGTTGCACAAAGAGCTGGGGGCCCAGAGCGGCCCTCCTGGAGCCCCCTCACCTCCGAGTAGCTGGGCGGCTGTGGCAGCTCTGCTTGCACCACAGCCAGGTCCACTCTGGTGGTGCTGGGCACGATCAGCATGGCCTGGAGGGGGAAAATAGCATCCCATGCTTATCCCCAGCCAGGGGAACGAGGACCCTGTGCTCTGCCTGCTGCTCCCCTGTTACCTCATTGGGGCTGAGTCGTGTTGCTCGGCACCAGAAGTTGGCAGTGGCAACAGCAATGCAGAACTCCAGGACGGTGAAGATGAGCAGCACGATGGAGATGCCATTCCCTGCGAGCTCCAAAGTGGGGAAGGTTCCATCAGCAGTGCCCAGTTCTTGACATCCCCCGTGCACTGAGATCTTTTCCCATCTCCCACCAGCCCTGGGTCTTGCTCTGTGTCTTTTTTTTTGTGCCTCTCTGCTTTCCCAAAGCTCAGGCAGAACCAGGCACATGCAGGGCATGAGTCATCTCCCACAGCACCAGCCCAGTGTAGATCAGGCAGTGGCACCGTGCCCAAGGGATGGTGGGAGCCCCGATAGAGCCAAGATCCCAATGGGTCTAGAGAAGTGCTCCAGAGTGCAGAGGATCCCACAGGGCTCCCCCACCTACCAGGACAAGGTAGCTGTAGTAGTCATCGCTGGAGCGGTACAGCCCGTTGAAGTTGAGGTCAATGATGAAGGCGACGATGCCCAGGAGCGCAAAGATGGCGCTGATGATGTTCATGGCTTGGCTGCCCTTCACCTGCAAGCATGGAGAGGCTTTTCCTGGCCTTTTTTACCCCACAGCTGTGGGTAACATCTCAGGGCCATCCCCAGCACCAGCCCTGATGTGGGATCCCAGCACTCCCTCAGCACTGCTGCTGGCACAGCGGAATTAACAGCTTTGCTAATTCCCCTTTTCCCATTGCTCATTGACAGAAATAACCTCAGTACAAGCTTCAAACGGGGACACAGCTTTGCCCCAGCGGGTTCCACCCGTGCACGTGCTGCTCCCCACATCCCACTTCATATCTGGGGGCCAGGAAGGGGGCAGGGGGCAGACAGACACTCACCGCACACTCCGTGGGACTCTTCTCTGCCCCAATGGACAGGCAGCCTGAGATGATGAACTGCAGCGGGAGAGGGGAGGGGGGCACTCAGTCCCGTGTCCCCAGACCCATAGAGCACCCCCCCCCCCCCAGCTTCCCCATCTCCAGAGGAAGTGGGGGGGCCAGTAGACAGCCCCCAGCTCCCATGCTACGCACAGACACACCGCCCAGGAAGGGGATCTCGCCGGTGATGAAGATGGAGGAGTAGACATTGGTGAGTGTGGTCAGGACGATACCGAAGCCAATGTGCATGAAGCCGGTCATGATCTGGATAGTCTGAGGGGACGGTGAGTCAGGGATGGGCCCCCTGGGGCAGCCCCTGAGCTTTAGGAGCCAAACCCCCAGGGTTCCAACCCTGCTGTTTAGGAAGGGGTTCCCACATCGATGGCATGTGCATGCATGGGGGATGCATCCCTGCTGTGTGCTACGCTGGGGGAGGCACACAGCCCCTATGCTCCTCATCCCTCCACCTCCAAGCCAAGGGTTAATCCTTCAGTGCCCCCAGCACCCCCATGCCTAGGATTAACCCCTCCGTTCCCCCAGCTCCAGTGGGAGCTTCCTTCACCACAGAGCATGGGGAGGGAGAGGGAGGAAGGTCCCTGTGCCCCCCACCAACACTAAGGTCTGAGGGCACCCACGGGGATGGGGAACCTCTCAGGGATGGAGAACCTCTCAGGGATGCTAAGGGTGGGCATTTTGGAGAGGTCAGCAGGGGTACGAGGAGTTGTAATGGCAGTGTAGGGGTGTCATAGGGATGGGAACCCTTCCTCCCCCCCCCCCCCCCTCTCCCCACTCCCAACTCACCCCCATCACTCGGTTCTTGCCCTTGGGCAGTGTCTCGGCCGTGTACATGACAGCACGGCTCCCCAGCCGCAGCGTCCCCATCCCTTGCATGGAGACAGAGCCGACACCGGAGCCCCCCCCGTCTCCATCTACATCTTCTCCCCCCCCTTTCCCCCCCAGCCCGCCCCGCTCGCTCTCGGTCCCGAGCACCGGGGGCCGCCCCCGTTCCTGCGATTGGAGCCTCCGCCGTGATGTCAGGGGGCAACCACGCGTGCCCGTCGGGAGGGTCCGAGGTGTGCGTGCTGCTGGAGAAAGGGGGGACAATGGGGCAGGGGGGAGCAGGCGCTGAGTGCTCAGAATCTCCCCACAGCACTCCTTTCCCCCCCCCCCCCCCCAAAAAAAAAAAAAACCAGCAACCCATCTTTGTCTCTTTGTTCTGTTTACAGCGGCTCAAAGTGAGTTCCTGGAAGAAAGCTCCATCAAAGCCATTAGGCACAGGAACATCTCCTCCCTGCGGGGTAGGCTGCGGAGAAAAGAGCCCCCCTCCCCGCAGATCTGTGCAGCTGAAGGGGCTGCTAGGACAGGGGAGGGCACCTCTGTATTGAGGGAAAGGAGGACAAGTGGGTGCCAGCATTGCCCCCCACCTCAATTTGGGAAAGCTCCCGAGTCTCCAGCCCTGCTCCTTGGGAAGGGAGGCGGGATAACAGTGCTGCTGCCCCTCCGTACCTTCCAACCTGGGGGATACCCACCCCCACCCTGGGGGATATCCCACCAACTCATCCCAAAGCACAGTCCCCAAAAGGCTCTCCCCCTTAACACCCCTACCCAGCAACACAGCTACAAGTACTGGGCATTTTTCCCAAGGTTTTTCTAAAGTTGAACATTCCCGTGGGCACAGAGCTCTGCCCTTCTACTGGCAACCAGCCTGAGCCCCACATTCCCCCCAGCAGGTAATGGCCACCCAGCTGGCCGCCAATCCCAAGTCACTGAGAGCAGACCCAGCTATGCCACAGTGCAGCACAACCCCCCAGCCCCAAGCCCCCACATGCATGGGATTCACTACTCTGCAGCCGTCCACCTCCATTCCACATCTGTTGCCAAAACACTCAGTCTTCAGAGCAGTGGGATCTGCAGGAATGGGAAAATCCCAGCCCCTATAGGCCACGTTGGGGGCCAAGGCTCTCCTGGTGCCACCTTCCTGTGCTGGCAGCAGTAGCACCGCACAGAACAGTGGCAGTCCAGCATGCCCACAGAGGTGAAGTTGGAGCCCACGGCCACCATGGCCAACATGGTGGCATGAATGGGGAGCACTGGCCCTGTGGGAAGAGGCAAGGGAGAGGATAAGGGGCACAGGGGACACACATCCCCGGGGGGTACCCTGCATTCATCTGAGTCCCTCTGGCTGCCACACAGCACCAGGGCCGTGGAGCAGCGTTGGGAGGCTGTAGGGGTCTGTGGGACGGTGGGCAACATTGAGAGTAGCTTCAGGCTGAGGCTGGCTTCCCCCTGCAGCCCTGCAAGGAGACGCCACCCATTCATCTCTCCGTCCCCACAACCCCAGCTCTTTACCACACCGCTGTCCCACTGGCGCCAGGCACTGCAGCCCCCCAGGAGTGCTGCAGCAGGAGCGGTCAACACCATCTGGAGAAAGCCATGTAGTGGTCACATGGAGATATTAGCAGGCCCCACCGCCAGCAGTCTCCACCGCCTGTAGGAGACAGCAGAGGAAGACCTACAGGGACACGTATCCTGCTGAAAGTGCTTCCTGGGGCGAGGCATGGGCACAGACCATGAGAACAGTGCCAGGCACCAGACTTGTTGGTCAGGTTCTGGCTGGTCTCACTGCCAAGGGAGAGGGCCTTGCTATACCACAACCCCATTGGTCAGCGAGCACCACCCCTGGGTGCTAAAGCCAGGCACGCAGATAAGCCCCCAGGAGCAGAAGGTCAGCGCAGCACTGCTGGAGGCAGCTGAGAACAGAGAGGATCCGGCGTCAGAGGGGCACCGCTGGCACGGAGGTTCTGAGGATGCTTGGCGTGGCTCTCAGCGTTGCGGTGCTGCTGGCACTTGCAGGTTGTGGGGCGGAAGGCTTGGTCCCCCAGGACTGCAGTGAGTAACACGGGGATATCGGGGAGGAGAATGGGTGCAAAGCCCAGTAAGGGACAGACGAGGTGCCCAGCACATCCCAGCCCACTCCCTCTCACCACAGTCGTCAACGCTGAGGAGCGTGCCCGCATGCTGGGGATACTGCAGCTCTCAGCTATGGACAGTGGACTGCCCAACCCCAGTGTGCTGCTGGCCCTCAACCTGGCTGGGGACAGCAGCAAGGCCCAGCAGGAATTGCTCGAGCGGATCAAGGAGACAGCAGTGAAGCAAGCAAATGGTAGGAGGGTGCCTCAGGGGCCATCCCAGAACCCTGTGGCATCAGTGCCTTGAGTTGGCTGTCCATAGTCTGGGGACAGTGGGTTTGGGTCCCAGCTGTTTGCCCCGACCACTCTCTGTCCCCGCAGACATGTCCTCGGGCCAGGTGGCCCTGTACACGCTGGCCCTGCTCTCTTCCTGCTGTGATCTGAGACATGTGGAGGCACACGGGCAGAGCGTTGACCTGCTCAGTATCCTTCAGGAGAAGATGGACGAGGAGGTGGCACACTGGGGTATGGGGCTCAGAATGGCACATGGCAACACAGGGATGCTGCTTTGGCCTGTGCTGGCTGATGGAACCCTGTACTTCCACAGACGAGGAAGGCATCCCGCTGAGCACACTGTTCAGTGTGGGGCTGGATGCACAAGCGCTGTGTGTGACGGGAGCAGGTGGCTACCAGAGTGCTGTCACCATCCTGGCCAAGCAGCTGCAGAGTTCCCAGGACAAGCTCTCTGTGGGTAAGAGTCCCCCCACCCCAACACCACAGTCCAGCTGGCTCTGTCCAAGCCAAGCAGGCTGTGACAGTGTCACTATGCAGACGAGCAGGCCATGATGGCACTGCCACTGGTGTGTGCCTATAACCGGAATGAGCTCCAGGGTATGCAGGACCTGCTGAAATCAACATTGTCAAAAGTGACCAACGAATTCCTTGAAAATCAGAATAAAGGAAATGGCTTCATTGGGAACATCTACAGCACAGGTCTGGCCATGCAGCTGCTGCTGGCTGCAGGCAAGTTCTATGCCCCGCGGAAGTGGGACTGCACCCAGCCCGTGGCTGCCATCACCGAACACCACCTGCAGCAGCCTATGGCCATTGCTCAGGCACTGCCAGCCCTGGTGGGCAAAACCTACCTGGATTCTGCCAGTCTGGACTGCAGCCCTGAAGCATCCAAAACGACTAGCCTGCAGCTGGACCCAAAGCCGAGCCAGGGCATAGCAGCTCAGGAAGGTATTGGCTGCCTCCATCCCCACGGGGCCACCACCCTGCTCTCCTTATAGTTTGTAAGGGATTACTCCAATTGGGTATGCACCTTATGGGGCTGGAAGAGTCCAGACTGGAAAGGTGTGGTTGCTGTCACATTATACTCTCATGTCCATGCTGATGGATGTGGATTTTGGTATGTCATTAGCCCTTAATGAGACTAAAGGTCCCTAGCAGGAAACATTACCTTTCCATTTTGTTGACACCAGCCATTGCCACATACTTGACCTACCTCTGGTCACGTTGTCACATTTCTGTTTGTTCTTTGCATATTTGCCATCATTTATTTCTGCTTACTTCCTTGTTGGACAACAATTTCCCCTTTAAGACAATGAACTCACAGCTCCTGTCGTATTTTCTCAGTGGGATCCACCATCACAGTGAAGTACACCATCACCAACAACTTGGTTGGACAGTTCTTCACCTATACCACCACAGTGGATGTCCCACATGGCTCCGTGCTCCTGGTCGTGCTGGAGGAGGCAGAGAAGTCCGACAAAACCATCTTTGGGTGAGTAGTGGGGGGCGTAAACAGGGTCGGTGTCACCACCTGGGCCCCAACCCACTGCTCGTCAGACCGCAGTCCCACCACCCATCTGCCCCACAGCTTTAAGACAGAACCAACATCCTGGGGCCCAATGGTGGTGTCCATCCACGGGCTGGCTGCCAGTGAGACTGAGAGGACCTACTGGCAGTTCTTCAGTGGCAGTGACGCGCTGCAGGAAGGTGGGCAGTGCTGGGGGGGTGGCAGGGGCTGTGGTGGGGAGCCACAGCCTCACGCCCATTCCCCACTGCAGGGGTTGGCACATACGAGCCGCACGACGGGGAGCACATCCAGGCTGTCTTCAGCACCTACTGATGGTACCGGGGGAGAAACAGCCCTGCCGGGCCCTACAACGTGGCAATAAAGAGTCATTTGCAGAACGTCCTTCTTTGCGTGCTCCCACAGCCCCCCGAATAACACAGCCACGTTGTGGTTCTGTGGTCTTCGAGGTCCCTCCCAACACAACTGTTCTGCGGCTATGTGATCCTTGTGGGTCCCTCCCAACGTGCGACATTTTGTGTTCCGTGTTCCTACATACGGCCTGGGAGCCGCCTGGGCAGCATGGGATGAAGGAGGGCGGGCTGAGGCTTCTGCCCGGCAGAGACGCCCTGGAGAGCCGGAACCCGCATTCCCTTCCCCTCGGCCGAGGGGGAAAAGGAGCTGTGTGACCGGAAGTGCTTCCCGCCGGGCGGCTGATGGGACGGACCCGATGGCGGCGCCCGGCAGGCACTTCCGGCCATGGGGTGGTGGCGGCTGGGGCGGCCCGTGGCGGCCTGCGGAGGCCGGGGGGGCCCGGGAGGGACCCGAGGGAGACTATGGGGTAGGCAGGAGGGGTCTGTAGGGCGGGGAAGGGGGTCAGGTGTGCGGGGCGCTGCCCGGGGCGGCCTTCCTGGTGCCCCCGGCCCGGCCCGGCCCTGAGTGCTCACTGTGCCCTTAGGCCTCGGCGGCAGCGCCGTCCCCCGGGCAGGCCTTAAGAAGTTCGTGCTGCCCCCTGACTACAGTGGTAAGTGCGGGACCCCGCGTCTGGCGGCGGTGCCTGAGGGAGTTGTCTGTTCCCTCCCCACCCACCTCTGCGATGATCCTCCCGTTTCCCCTCCCTGCAGGCATCACGCTCCCGGAGAGGCCGAAGCTGAAATTCATGGAGAAGGTGCCGGCGGTGCCGAAGGCCAGACGGGAACCACGGCAGCTGCGGGACATTCGCGGGCCTTCCCATGTGGCCACCGATTTCACACAGGGGCAGTACGGCATCCTGGTGAGCACTGGGCTGTGGTGGGTTGCACCAGGCTTAGAGCACCTCCGGTGCCCAGCAGTCAGCCCTTGCCATCGTCCCACAGGCGCTGGGGGGTGGCTACCTGCACTGGGGGCACCTGGAGATGATCCGCTTGACCATCGGGCGCTGCATGGACCCCAAGAACATGTTTGCCATCTGGCGCGTGCCACCTCCCTACAAACCACTGACAAAGAAGAGCCTCGGACACCGCATGGGGGGTGGCAAAGGCCCCATCGACCGCTACGTGACCGCAGTGAAGAGCGGACAGCTCGTGGTGGAGCTTGGTGGGCGCTGCGAGTTCGAGGAGGTGAAACCCTTCCTCACACAGGTGGCCAACAAGCTGCCCTTCCTTGCTGTTGCTGTCAGCCGGCAGAGCCTGCTGCAGATGCGGCAAGAGGAGGAGGAGAAGAGGCGCAACAACCAGAACCCCTGGACCTTTGAGCGTGTCATCACCGCCAACATGCTGGGCATGCGAAGGTACCTCAGCCCCTACGACCTGAAGCTGAAGGGACGCTACTGGGGGAAATTCTTCCTCAAGCACAGGGTGTAGCCCGCAGGCAGGGATGAAGCCACCAGAATAAAGCCTTCTGTGAAAGCATGGAATTGTAGAATCTTTGATGTTGGAAAAGACCTCTAAAATCATTGAGTCCATCTGTCCGCTTACCACCAAGAAATGTTTAGATGTGGCACTGGGGGACCTGCTTGAGTGGAGAAATATTGGTGTAGGTGGACTGTTGGGCTCAATGATCTTGGAGTTTTCTTCCAGCCTTGGTGAATCTGTGATTCAGTATTGCCCGCTATGTCATGATCACATGCCACATATCTACGTTTCTTCAACACCTCCAGGGATGGTAACTCCACCACCCCCCCTGGCATCCCATTCCAATGTCTAACCATTCTTTTAGAAAAGAGGTTTTTCCTAATATTCAGCCTGACCCTCCCCTGGCACAGCTTGAGGTCATTGCCTCTCATCCTTTCACTCTTTCTGTGGTAGGAGGCCAACTTTACCTCACTATAACCTCATTTCAGGGAGAGGCAGAGAACAATAATACTTTTCCAGCTTCCTCTTCTCCAGACTGAACAATCCCAGCTCCCTCAGCCACTCCACATAAGACCTGTGCTCCGGACCCCTCACCAGCTTCATTACCTTCCTTTGGGTGCGATTACTGTGGGTTGTGGAGGCCCAGATGTGGGGATGGGATGCGGAGGTGAGTGACACGACTCCCTGACACAGCACCATGGGGTGGAGTGTGAGTCATCTCTTTATTGGGGAGGAGGGCTGTGGTGCAGGTGTCGGCACATCTGGAGAGCAGCTCCGTGGAGGAATGGCTGCACACGAGCTCTGAGTGAGGGGTGAGCTGCTTTCACCACCGGGCAAAGCAGAGCCCTGGCTGTGGCTGGCTCCGTGCTGGTGAGTAGGGAGCTGTGGGACCCTGGTGTGAGGACAGCGGGTGAGAGGGGACCTCGGGGTGACGTCCTCAAGGCTTGGCAGGTGGGTCCCAGGGCCACGGGTAGGATCACCGAACAGGATGGGGAAAGGCCACCTGTAAGCGGGAAGCATCAGAGGCGGCTGGCACTGCTACCCCATCTGTGAGTGAGTGCTGCTGGCCCGAACCCCATGGGCACCCCATCACCTGTGGGGAGTGGCTGGGATGTCAGGCGAAGATGCTACCGATGCTGGCAGCCAGGATGATGACAAGGATAATGCAGCAAATCATGATCATGATCTTCTTCTGCACGGGAGAGAGGGACTGTGAGGCTGGGACATGGGCAGGGCAGGGAAGGGGAACAGGGGACAAGAAGACAGAGGTTCAGGGGGCGACTCAGAGCAATGTGGGATCCTGTTGGTCCCTCTCACCCTCCTGGCTTCGCTTTGGTACTTGACGGCCTTTTTGGTGTCAGCCACAGCTCGCTCCACGAAGCCGACAGACTGGTCCATGTTGTTTTCTATGCGGTCGATCATGGCTCCCTATGGGGGCAACAAGGAGAGACAAGGGGCACAGCACGACTCCTCGCATTGCGTGGGGCACTGGGGGTGCTCAGAGGGGATGGGGAGGAAACCCTCCCGGGGGTTCGGTGCCATGGCTCTGTGGTGCTCCATGGCCAGGTCCCAGCCCCCAGGGTCCCTCCTTGTTCCCCTGCTGTCCCATGCATGAGTCCCTGTCCATCTCTATCCTGTCCCTACTTGTCTCTATGCTGTTCTATGTCCAGACCCCTGTTTGTCCCCTCCCTTCCCCTGCCTCAGTCCCTCTGTCTCCCCTGCCCCATGCTGGCTCGCAGCTCGCCCCGCAGCCATGCCTGGTTCTCCACCAGCATGGCGATGTCGACAAACATGTCGTGCAGCTCCTTGATGCTGCTCTCCAGCCGCACGATGTCCTTATGCCGCCCCTCGATTTCACTCAGTGCCTGCTTTGAGATCTGCGAGTCCACGATCTGCAGGGGAGACAAGGCAAGAGGCGTCAGAGGAGCAGTTCCAGGCCCCCAACCCCTGGCCCCATGGGGCTCACCCCTGAGGTGAAGATGGCGGGGTTCCCGCTCTCCAGCATCTCCTCCAGCTCCTCATCGGTCGTGTTCTTGCCAGCTGTGGGGAGTGAGCGCTGCCACAAGCTCTGCCCACCCCACTGAATGAGTGGGGCATAAGGTGGGGAAGGGGACACGCACTGATCTCTAGCTGCCGCTGGATCCGGCCTTTGCTGCGCTCCCGGAAGTCAACCTGTGCCTCGTTGTACTTGGTCATCACATCAACGAACTTGCGGGACAGGACTGAGTGCTGGGGATGGGGACATTGGGAACACCCTGAGCATGGCGTAGCTCAGCCCCAGGGGCTGGATTGAGTGCTGGATTTGGGCATGGGGACAGAGAGAAGTGGACATTGAGATGGGACGCCCCAGGCATGGCATGTTCCAGCTTCCAGAACCAAGTACTGGGGATATGAACATTGGGCTGGGGTCACCCAAGGTGTGGTGTGTCCCAGTCCTAGAGGACAGGACTGAGGGCAGGGGGCAGAGATGTTGGGGTGGGGTTACCGTGATGTGTCCCACCACAGGATACATGACTGAGTGTGGAGGACAGGGACAGAGATATTGGGATGGTGACATTGGGTTGGGAACGCCGAGTATGGCATGTTCCAGCTCCTGGTATTATGATCAAGCTCTGGAGTTATGTATGAGAGACACTGGGATATGGACACCCCAGTGTCCCAGCCCCGGGGGACAGGATTGAGTGCTGGGAATGGGAACATTCTGATGTGCCTGACCACAGGATACGTGACTGAGTGCTATGACAGAGACAGAGACATTGGGATGGCAACACTGGAAAGCAGATACCTCAGGCATGGCATGTTCCAGCTCTCAGGGACAGGGCCAAGAACTGGGGATGGGGATACAGGGATGGGGACATTGGCATGATGATAACCTGAGCATGTTGTGTTCCAGCCCATGGGGTTAGGATCAAGTGCTGGGATTGGGGATGGGGAGATTGGGCTGGAGACACCTCAGGCATGGTGAGCCTCAGCCCTATAGGATAGGACTGAGTGCTGGGGATGGGGACACTGGGACAGGGACATTGGGATGGGAACACTGCAGGCGTGTCATGTACCAGACCATGAGGACAGGACCAGGTGCTGGAGTTGTGAATGGGGAACCCCCAAGCACAGTGTGTCCCACATCAGGGTACACGACTGAGCGCTAAGGATGGCAACAGGGATACGGGAACAGGGACACCATAGGTAAAGCATGCCTCAGCCCCAGGGGACAAACCCGAGTGTGGGAGCAGCCGTGATGCATTCCACCTCCGGGAGGGGACGGCAGGGTGCAGTCACCTCACCTGGGATTTGCGTATGCGCAGGTCAGCAGAGGAGCGGGCCTCATCCTGCTCGATGTTCCTCTCCATGCCTGCCAGCAGTGAGAACCCCACCTGTCAGGTGCATTTCCCACCCACCACGGTGACCCCAGGGCCGGGGACACAGCCACTCACTCTTCAGCTTGTTGCGCACGCTGTTGGCCGTCTTCTTGATGTCAGCTGTGAGCTGCTCCAATTCATCTTTGGTCTCTGCAGGGGAGGGGATACTGAGATGGGGATGCCATCACAGGTGTGTGTCCAAGGAGGGGATGTATGGCCCTGATGGGGGGGGAGGGACGACGACACACAGCCATGCTCACTCTGCTCAGGGATGGGGGCCGAGAGGATGACACTGTAGAGCTTCTTGGCCTCCTCCACGTTCTCTGAAATTTTGTCAATGTTCTGCCTCGTCTCCTCAATCTAGAAGGGCCATGAGGACATGTCACCTGTGTCCCCCACGTGCCCCACATCCCCTGTGTCCACCTGCTCCACACCTCAGCAAAGAATTCGTCCATGAAGGCTGTGTTGTCGATGGCGATTTCCACCTCATCGGTGTCATCCTCAGCATCCTGCTTCTGTGGGAAGTAGCGAGGGGATGCTCAGGGGACAGCTGGGGACACCCGGTGGGTGTGGGACGAGGACAGGGAGGGATGCAATGGCCCCCAAGCAGTGAGGGGGGGTCCAGCCGGGTGCCATCTGCTCACATCTGACCAGCGGGAATTAACGGATTGCAGGGCTGGGCAGTGGGAGGAGCAGGGACAGAGATGAGGCACTCCATCACGGAGCTTTGCGGCCCCAAACATCACCCCACAGCAGCTCCGCACAAGCTCCCCTCTGCCCCACAACCACCCTTGCCATTACCATGGTGTTGTGCCCCAGCCCCCTATTCCTGGGGTAAAAATAATGCTTAATCCCCTGCTCCCCCCGCAGGGCCTGATCGTGGGCAGTGCCTCCCTTAATCCCTGCTAAATCCCCCAAGGGGCAGCATGGAGGCTGCAGGGCTGCGCAGCGTGGGGAGCACCCCAAGAACCCAAAAGCAGGGCACGGGGCCCTGTGTGTGTTCTGCATCGCTTCCTGCGCACCACAGCGAGGTTGCAGCCACCCCGAATCCTCCCAGGGCTAAGACCCGTGGTCCCATCTGGCAGTAGGGCACGACCTATCCCTGGATGACCCCAGTGCGCCCCCCATGGTGCCCTGCACCCCTCACCGCCCGGAGCTGCTCCAGCCGGTCCCGCATGGTGCTGGGCTGCCAGGACTCGTCGCCCGCCTGCTGCCGTCCTACATCAGCCCCGCTAATCCCCACTGATGGGCACTCAATGAGAGCAAGGCTGAGGCGGGGCTGCCCGCACCCGCCACGTGTGCTCCAGACACCCGAGGGGGGGGTGGAGAAGGTGCCAGTGACACGAGTGTCTCCACAGCTTACAGATGACCCTGGCACCGGGTGGGGGACAGGAGGTGGTGGTGGACAGGTGGACAGGGCCACGGATAGGGGATATGAGTGGTGTGACAGGGGTTGGAGGGCAGGGTCATGGATAGGGGATAGGGGTGTTGGGGTATGAAACGGGGACATGGCCACGGGTAGAGGACACAAGTGTTGGGATGCGAGTTGGGGGTGTGGCTAAGGGTAGGGGATGTGGTTTGGGGGACATAACCATGGATGGGAGGCACAAATGGTGGGATGCAGGTTGGAGACGTGGCTAATAGGGGACACGGACCGGGGTTGTGGCCATGGTTAGGGGACATGAGGCAGACTTGGCCATAAGTTAGGGCACACGGGTTGAGGGACGTGAGCTGGGGGACATGTCTGCGGGCAGGGGACCCAGGTGGTGGGACACAGGTTGGAGGACACGACTAGAGGGTAACACCCAGGGGATTTAGCGGAGGACTGAGACACGGCTGGCGTGGGGGGCACCGGCTGGGGCAGCAGCGCCGGCGCTGGGGCAGGACGGGGCACAGGTGCCCGGAGGCAGGCAGAAAAAGGCCGCCTGCCCCTTTAAGAGCCGCCCGCACTGGGGCGCGGCGTACTAAAGCCTTCGAGTGGGCGGTGCTTCCCATTTGCGCATGCGCACCCCACGGACGGGCGGGGAGGGTGACGTCATGCGCGTGCGCCCGCGGCGGCGCATGCTCGGCGGGGCCGGAGCGGGCCGCGCGGAGCCTGCGGGCGGGGGGCGCCGCCGCCGCCGCCGCCGCCATGTTCCGGTACCCGGTGAGTGGGGGGCGGGGCGGGGCGTGGGCTGAGAGGGGCGGGGTCGGGCCGCAGGGACCGGAGCTGGGGCTCAAGCTCGGGCCTCGGAGTTGGGTTTGGGGCCGTGGTTGTGGGCTCAGAGCTGAGGGCCGGGGCCGTGGGGCCGTGGGGCCGTGGGGCCGTTGGTTCAAGGCCCAGGGTCAGCTCTGGGTGCTGAGCGCTGGGCTTGGGACTGGGGCTGCTGAGCAGGGCTGGGCCTTGGGCTTGATGGCAGTGCTGGCAGTGGTGGTGGTACAAACGTGCTGTCTGCCACCACAGTCCCTGGAGGAGTGCCCGCTGGATGAGGAGGACGACGGCTTCCAGGCACTGGGCGAGGAGGATGAGGACATTGATCAGTTCAACGATGACACCTTTGGAGCTGGGGCTGTCGGTGAGCTCTTGGTCCCTCTCTCTTGCCCTCACTGCCCACCCGGTGCCTGGTGCTCTCTGCTGCCACGCTCACCCCACCGTTCCCATGCAGATGATGACTGGCAGGAGGCCCACGAGCGATTGGCTGAGCTGGAGGAGAAACCCTTGGGCTCTGGGCAGCAGACCGCGCCGAGCAGTGAAGATGCAGAGTTGCTGGGTGAACCTGAGGATGCACTGGCAGAGCGGCTGACGCGGCTGGTGATCGAGAGTGAGCTGGAGGACCCTGCCATCATGCGAGCTGTGCACACCCGTGGGCCTGGTGCACAAACTATGGCACTCAACACCAGCATCTGGGATGGCCCCTCTGTGCTGCAGCGCATCTGCACGCCGCTGCTCACCCAGGTAGGGGCATAATGCTGTCACCACTCAGTAGAGGGCTGCAGGAATGGGGAAGGAAATATTAGGAAATGGCTCTTTACCAGAGGGTTGTAGGCGTGGAGCAGAGGTTTCTGGCTTCACAGAGAAGCAGGCACTGCCTCACACTACCAGAACTTGAGGAGTGTTGGGCAATGCTCTCAGACGTATGTTTGGGTTTTGGGTGTTCTTATGTGGGGTCAGGGGTGGTGGTCCCTGTGGGTCCCTCCCAGCTTGGGATATTCTGTGGCTGTTGGGTGAGCTGCGCTTGGACATCACTTCTTGACCCTGCATATGCTCTCTCTGGGCTGGGTGGTGCCACTCAATCCCTCGTGGTGTCAGCACTCAGCATTTGGGATTGTCAGTGCCTTGAGCCATAACTGTTTTAATTGCTAGGTGACAGAGAGTGAGGCTTAATTAAGAATCATACACAGGATCCTTGGGGCTCCCTGAGAATCCTGGCTGGGGCGTGGGGATCTCCAGCACTGGGAAAGCACTATGCGGCAGCTCCTCTGCACTATACCACGTCAGTGTCAATGTCCTTGCCACCGTGTCCAGCCCTGAGACTTCTTTCCAGGGCTTTTTTCCCCACTTCTACTTGCAGGAGATGCCATCAGTGTCCGTGCTGGACTATGCTCTGCCCCAGAGACCCCTGCAGGCTCAGGAGGAGGAGCGGGACCCCTCGGAGCGGGCACTGCCACGTCGCTCATCCTCTCCCATCATTGGGAGCCCCCCTGTACGAGCAGTCCCCATCGGTACCCCTCCCAAGCAGGTCGCTATGCCCAATTTTAACCAGCAGGTATGGCCCCCAGCTCCCTAAAGCAGGTGCACGCCCCGTGGTGAGGAGCCAGACGTCAGACCCCCACTGCTTTCCTTCTCTCAGATCCTGTGTCCAAAGCCTGTCCACATCAGGGCTACCATGCAGCAGCGCTACTCTGCTCCCTACAGCGAGAGGATGTCCCCCAACCAGCTCTGCAACGTACCAGTACTCCCTGCTCCCACCCCCAAGCCCTTCTGATGCCCCGACTGCATCATCATCCCACCTGGGAGGACCATGACTGGGGGCTCTGCTCCTTTATTTTCTCGCAGAACTCTTCGTTGCTGGGCCACCCATTCCCCACCAGTGTCTCTCCCGTTTTCACCCACCTGCAGCGGGCGCAGCTGCTGGGAGGAGCGCAGGTAAAGCCCTGGACTCTGTGCCCGCCAGCCCCTTAGGGGTGAGGGTCCAGCATTCTGATGGAATTCACACTCCCTCTGCCCCGAATTTCAGGCCGGCCGAATTTCTCCCAGCCAGTTTGCTCGAGTCTCAGGCCTCGTTGGGAACCCACTACCCTCCGTCAATCCCAAGCTGCTGCAGGGCAGAATGGGGCAGATGATGGCTCCCACTGGCGGCTTCCGTGCCTTCTTTGGGGCTGGCCCCGCTCCGCCCTCACAGCCGCAGCCTGCGCCGGGCCCCGTGCCTCACCTGCAGGGCCTGAGGTAGGCACTGACCCCCGTGGGGTCGCGCGCCTGCTGTACAGCCCTGTAATCCCGTGTGCTCCCCACAGGCCACAGCCCTTCCGACCGGACACCACCCACCTGCACCCCCAGCATCGCCGGCTCCTGCACCAGCGGCAGCAGCAGAACCGAAAGTGAGCACCGGGCGGGAGGGAGCGCGAGGAGGTGGGCGGTGCCCCGGTGCCGGCTGTCCTGGGGGCCGTGCAGCCGGGGCTAGCCTGTGCACCACTCTCTGTCCCTTCCTGTAGCTCCTGTGTGCTCATGGGTGCTCTTCTTGCCTCCTGCCAGCCAGCACCGTGGCCTCAACGGCTCGATGGGGGAACGAGGGGGCCACCGTGGCAGCCACCAGGAGCAGGCACGTAAGGACCCCTACGCAAACCTCATGCTGCAGCGGGAGAAGGACTGGGTGTCCAAGATCCAGATGATGCAGCTGCAGAGCACCGATCCCTACTTGGATGACTACTACTATCAGGTACTGGGAGAGGGGCAGGGATGGGGCCAGCATGAGGGAAGAGCTGTCATGCTTTGCCTTGGGAAAGGGAGGGCATCAGAGAAGACATCACACTCTCTGCATGTACCGGGAAGGAGTGTTGTGAAGCACTGCTGCGTGAAGGAGAAGCAGTGGGGAGAGGGCTTTGCTCCTGGGATACTGACCTTTCCTGTCTCTGTTCCAGAACTACTTCCAGAAGCTGGAGAAGCTGTCAGCAGCTGAGGAAGACGGTCCCAAGAAGGAGCGTACGAAACTCATCACCCCTCAGGTGGCAAAGCTGGAGCACACCTACAAGCCAGGTTAGCGCTTCCTTCCCCAGGTCTGGAGGCAGGGAGAGCAGTCCTGTCCTGGAAGCTGGCTCCTTGCATCCCCTGCCCTGTCCTGCAGTGCAGTTTGAGGGCTCGCTTGGGAAGCTGACAGTCTCAAGTGTGAATAACCCCCGGAAGATGATCGATGCGGTGGTGACCTCCCGTGGAGAGGATGATGTGAGTGCTGCCCCTTCCTCCCAGTCCTCCATGACCTGCACCTGTACCCTGACCTCCTCTCTCCCCTGGGCAGGAGACAAAGGAGAAGCAGGTCCGGGACAAGCGGCGCCAGACACTTGTCACCATTGAGAAGGTAAGTGCTGTGTCCCCACTCTGTACGGGGCACGTCTGTGGGTCTCTGACTGTGGGTCTCTGCCCTGTGCGATGGCCACCTGTCCTGTAGACGTACAGCCTCCTCCTGGATGTGGAGGACTACGAGAGACGCTACCTCCTGAGCTTGGAGGGTGAGCGGCCCGCCCTGATAGGTGAGAGGAAGCAGAAGATCTGCAACATGTATGACAATCTGCGTGGGAAAGCACCGGGGCAGGAAAGGTGAGCAGGGGGAGGCTGGGGGCTGAAATGACCTCACTTTTGCACCTCAATGTCGCTGTGGGGTGCACCTTCTATCGCTATGCTGGCTGAGTCATTTCCTTCACAGGCTGAGCGACGACCACTTCATGCAGATCATGTGCATCCGGAAAGGAAAGCGCCTGGTGGCCCGCATCCTCCCCTTCCTGTCCCCTGAGCAAGCGGCCGACGTGCTGTTGGCGACGGCCCGGAACCTGCCCTTCCTCATCAAGAAGGATGCTCAGGATGAGGTGACTTCTGCGGCTCAGAGCGTTCCTGCCACGCCCCACAATGCAGGCCCCCACCTCTCCCCTTGGGAGAATGGTGATGGTTATGGGGCAACCCTGCATCCCAGCTCTCTATGCTCCCCCAGGTGCTGCCCTGCCTGCTGCGGCCCTTTTCACACCTCCTATACCAGCTCCCCCTAGGGACAGTCACTAGCCTGGTGCAGCAGCTCACCAACCTACCTCAGAGTGCTGCCGCACCCACCTCCACCAACTTGCACCTCACCACAGTGCTCCAGAACAAGGTGGGCACCCGCGGGGCTGGCATTGCTCCGTTGCGTCCCCACGGGTCCCCAACACCTCATCTCCATCCCCGCAGTTCGGCCTGTCCCTGCTGTACCTGGCTCTGAGCCGTGGGGAGGAGCTGCAGAGCACGGACGGCGGCACGGAGCTGATGCAGGACAACCAGTGGTGAGAGATGGAGCGGCGGGGCCGTCATGCGGGGGGAAGAGCCAGCGCTGTCCCCATGCCGACACATCCTCTGCCCACAGGACGGAGCTGATGCTGCTGGCCACTCAAGAGCTGCTGCGTGTACCACCCACTGCCCTGCCCAAGCCGGTGCCCCCCCCCTCCAACCTGCTCTCTTTCTTCTCCCGCTACGTCGACCAACAGAAGCTCAACCTCCTGCAGACCAAGCTGCAGTGAGTGCTGTGCTCAGCCCCCCCCCCCCCCCCGGCAGGACGGTGCCCTGGGGCGGGCACAGATGGGTAGTTCTGTGGCTGAGCGCCGGTGCTGTTGCTCAGTCCTAGCGCTGAGCCTCAGTGCCGGTGCCTGGTTCTGGCCCCAGCCCCTGGCAGCACCTGGCAGCTCGTTCTGCTGCTGGGTTCTGGTGTCTTCTGGTTCCAGCGCCCGGTTCCAGCCCCCCCATGCTGTTTGCACACCCCCTGCCTCCTCACCCCGCCCCCACCGCAGTTGCAGTTCACACACACACACACACACACACAGCCCCGTAGGCCCACGCCATCCCGTGGAGATCCCTTGTTATTATATATATATTTTATTTGAATTTTTTTGTGCTTTTTTTTTTTTTTTTTTTTTTTTTT